AAAAAATCGTGCATTCTCTTTCTTTGATAAATGCTTGGTGGTAGTTCAGTCTTTGTCAAGCATATGGTTCTTTATAGCAGACGTCTTCACAGCACTGCCTTTGGGGAATGCTGCTGCGACAGGAATAGCTCTGGGTGTCAGTGCTTGCCTGTGCCAACTGCTTGATCAGATGTGAATGTTCTGCTCTAATAATGTAAATCAGAAATAAGGACCCAAGCTCTCGTGAGATTCACTGTGACCAATGGCTGCAGAGTAGACAGAGCCATCACACCTGCTTCTCCAATGCGTTGCAGAAGCGATCGGTATCCTTAGTTACCAGCTGGAGGTTTATGCTTTTAAAACTTACTTAGTAGCCTTTTAAAACTACTGTAGATACAGATGTAACAGGCATTTTGGTTTGGGGTTTTTTGTGTGTTTCATCAACATTTTCAGTAGCAAAAGAAGAAAATTCTGGCATAGTTCAAGCAAGTATTCAGATGCAGTACATACCCTGTGTTCAGCAGCACCTGTAAGTGACCCCACATAGCCAGTGCACTCAGCTGTTTTGCTAACAATCTCTTTTAAGTCTTCATCGCTTTTACTTTCTGACATGTGGATGTGATACCACGTCAGGAGCAGGAACTGGTTTCAATGCATTACCCACAGTACCCTAGTCAACCTGGATTTCTAGGCACTGCTGGTTCTATGACAGAGTTGTCTCTCATGTACAGGTCCTTGTTGATTCTCTTCAGTTGTTCACAGATAACATGTAGCCTATTGTGATAGTCTAGACATACGTATTGCTGGTTTACATGTAGCTTACTGTTGCCCTTCAGGTCATCTTTCACTTCTGAACAGTAGCCTGTGTAATCCATGGAACATCTGCCTTAGTCACCACTTCAAGCTAAAACCTTCTGCAGGACTCAAGATCAATCCTTCATTCCTAGAGCAAGGTGGAACATCTTGGCGTGTTCCGATCAGTCTCCTTAGATAAGATTGCTTCCTAGAAAAAATGCACTTTAACAACCTGCCAAAAGAGTTGCAAATCATGGCAAATGCTGCTTTCCAGCCAAAGCTGTGAAGTTCTTGCACAGCTGGGATTCTTATATGGAAAAACCCACACCACCACCAGAAACCTTTTTCTGACCTGAACAGTTGAGCGTTGGTATTCCAAGGAGATCATAGGCAATAGCAAAGGATCTTGCATGTGCAGATACTACCTCACTCCTCATTTTTTAATCAACCACACAGATTATTTTGTTAGCATTCTCAAAATGCCATGCACCTCCTCAGTTTTACTTCAGCCTTCCGGCTTGTTTCACCATCTGTGTGGATCGCCTCACTCAGATTTTGGAAGCATGGGAATGTTAATAAAGGACACAGGCTTAGCTAGTGTTTATTTAGGCTATGCACTACAGTTTCAACTTTTGCTTAATTCTACTTTATAATTTTACTAGGGATTAGAGCCTCATATGTTGCCAGTTTAGCTAATTTCCATGTGATACAGTATCAGATGTTTCACAGAAATTGAGGTAGATTGTTTTTCATTATCCTTCCCTTTTCCTTTAATCCGACACTTATCTCTGTCAAGTATGACCCTACTACTGGTTTTTGGCAGTAAAAGATATTTTGCTATGTAATTTCGATCACCTTTTCAGGTTGCAACTCAGTTTATTCCAGCTCTTGACTTCCTTGCTAGTTGTTTTCTCTTTTTTTTTTTTGGCTCTCTAGTTTAATGCACATTTTTTGTCATATAGGTATGTTTGGAAGCATGGCCTGAATGTTCCCCCACATCTGTGCAAAATGTTCCTTATAGTTTTCTGCCTTTAAGAAATTCCAGTCCTTTTCCCTTCTCCAGAACTCTGCCAGTTGAGTTCACTAAGTAGCATTTCTAACTTTTCATAATTGAGCTAAATTAAAAAAAAATAAACCAACATATTTAAATTTTTTAAATAAATGTTGTTTATAGAGCTGCAAGGTTGCTGGTCTTAAAAAAAATTACCCTCTTTCTCATTCGCACTTTTTTCCACCTATGAAAGAATTGTATAAAACAAATGAAAAATTTAAACCCCTAGAAACTAGTCTTTCTTGCCCTGAAGGCTGCTAAAATTACCACAATTACTCAAACAGCCTTAACCGTTGACAGAAGTTTTTGTTTGTTTTATATAGCTACTGTATTTCATTTAGAAACTACTAAGAATATAATCATCTTAGAGACCATCTGCTTAAAATGACAGTGCATACTAGGGCTAAATTTTTAACCTTTTTTTCCTGATTTGTTCATTATCTCTTCTAACACTGATTACATGACAAACTCAGTATTCAGTGCTAAGGGGTCCTTTTCTGGATTAATTTTCTGCATACGTCCAATATGCACACAACCATTTCCAACAAGTGTTCATAAATCACTCATTTGCTGACTTTTTTTGGGAGATCAGAGGGGAAAAGCAGGGAGAGCCTTCATTTCATATGTAAATAGCATGTCAAGGTTGCAGGTTCCTCAGAACAATCAACTGTACCTTTTTCCTTTTGCCCCCTCATTGCATCTTCTATCCTGGATTCCAGTACAAGAGGAAGAAGAATGGTTGTGAAGACCCATGACACACTACTGCACATAACAGGCCTTATGTTTGTTTTGGGGGTTAGTTTTTGGCGTGTTTGTTTTTTGGTTAGTTCAAGTAATACACATGCTGTGAAGAAGGAAATTTCCCTTTAGAAAGAATTTGTGATAAAAGTTCCAACACTTTGATATATAGTTCTTTGCTGTAAAGCAACTCATTTCAAATGTTCCCCCTCATTCTCTTGTCATACAAGCTGTTTTCTTCTGGTATTTTGTATCCTCTCCAAAATACTGACACCTGCACTTGATATCTAGGATTGAAAATGAGAATAAATTAGAAGTGGAGGTAGGATAATTAATTTGTCCTCAGTAAGGCTGATGGATTTTTCTTTTAGTTTTTTATTTTTATTGAAACGACAATTCTGGAAGATATATTTGGTTTGCTGAGAGGCACATATATAGAAGGAAGGTCTAATTGGTTTGAAGAATCTGTTAGCAAAAATTAACATTGTTAGCTGGAAGAAAGCAAACACAAGACAAAGCTAACAGGTCAGATAACATTGTTTCTATCACCCCTGGCAATTTATGGGTTTGTTATGGGTTTGTACTACCAATTCTTAAAGAGAAGTAAGTGCTTAACCAATGAATTCCTTCCTTTTCACCTGTTAACAGAGTCATACTAAGCTGGTATACACAAAAAAAGTGTTTGCTATCTGTGACTGCCGAAGCTTCTAGCTTTCCTTGATACCTTGTACAATGTTCTGTGACTTTTCAAAATATCAATTAAATGTTAAAATTTTTCTGAACCTATGCAAATGTCTCTTGTGGAAGTTTCTTAGCAGTCTGTATCATCTAAAGATTCATTGGAATAGTCCATATGTGATTTATTAATATATCTTCATGATTTCTTTTTATTAAATGCTTAATGTGAAATTTAATATTCATGAGTTAACATATGTTTTGTCAGAAGAGAAATAGCCCATGAAATTCTGAGTGTATATTTTACATCTCCTATTTATATTCTGAATCTTCATAAAGATACAACTGTAATGGCAACTCTCAGTCTGCGAATATCCCAAAGGAGAAGAGAACAGACAATCCCTCTGTTCTGTGGCAATTCCTTGTTATTGTAAAATGAGTCTCATTTTCCTGAAATGTCATGGAGAACTGTCATATTTAAAGTGGGCCTGATTTCACTTGGGGCAGATTGCAGAGATACTGTGAATTCCCTCCGTGATGTATACTTGGCCTCAGTGCAGCAGAATCCCTATAATTTGGGAAGGAAACTAACAATCAGGACTAGTTTTTTCAAATGTTATAGCTGTGCTCTGCTGCAGCTCTTGGTGGTTTTTTTGGCAATGAGCTCCCAGGTGATCATGGTAACTACAACAGAACTTTTTCACAAGTCACCTCTTTTCCCTGATTTCCTTCTGTTAGCTTATACATGTAGCACTGGATGGAAGGTGGTAAAAATATTTATATGGCACAAAAAATAGCTCTTGGGGAAAAGGCATGTGAGAACTAAGCATCTCATGCAGAGTGGCTGCATGTGTCTCTGGCTCTTGGGACACAAAGTCCAAAGCTGTTTTCATGAATGATTTTACCCTTAAACACAGAGGGGAAAAATTTACCTGAAGTGGCATACTGATTTTAAGTTCAAGTCTGGAAGCTGCAGAATACCTGCAGGGATTTGTTCAACGTACTTGGATTCAGTTGTTTCATTTGATGCTAATGGCATTTCATGTTTTGTGGGATTAAAGAAAAAGGCAAACACTGAGTCTTTGTATTTGCCTGGCTGCTTTGGATAGAGTAAAAGAAATGTAGGTTTAAAAATGATACAATGCATTTTATAATTGTAAAATTACAGAATCACAGAAGGGCTGAGGTTGGAAGGCCCATCTGGAGGTCTATTGCCTATTGCCTTATCTTTTCATGAGACACCACTAAGAATATGCCTGCTCAGTCTAAGCCAAAAGACAAAATAGATCATTGCTTTGTATAAAAGGTAGCAATTTGTGTCACATAAAGATTGCCATGAGTAAAAAAGACTTTTTGGCAAATTATCATTTCATAGTAAACCATTTGTTGTTCTGATTCTAGTCCCCATATTTTAATTTTAATAGAGAAAGGATAATGGTACCAGCATGTGCTTTCTTTTTTATATTAAGATTTCATATCGCCATGTTTATTTAGGAAAATTTATCTGTTAGAGGCCTAATTCCATTAAGTTATTTCTTAGTATTATACTTTATATTATTCTTTTATTTGCAGAGAAGTTCAGTTTAAAATGAAAAATAATTTCTTATTTGTTCGAATGTTTGTTTTGAAAACAGCGATGAAAAAAAATCAAGATTTTACTTAGACATGTCTATCTTCTTTGTTGACTGACCAACAGTTGTTGCTACATTTACCCACTAATAGCAGAAATTTTGATGAATCTTTCGTGTTTGGTTTTGCACAGAGAGTTTGGATGGCGGGATCCAGAGCTTCCAGAAGTTATACAGATGTTACAGCATCAGTTTCCCTCAGTACAGTCAAATGCTGCAGCCTACTTACAACATCTCTGTTTTGGAGACAATAAAATAAAAGCAGAGGTAAGATTTATAAGCTCTTTTTTTCAGCAGTGATGCTGTCTGCCATTTATCATAGCCAATTATTTATATGTGCTTTAAAAAGATTTACAAAAGAAATCATGTATATATGCCTGGACCCATTTTACTCAAGCTTTCCCTTAAGTCATTTGTTATCATTACAGAAAGTAAAAAATGCATCAAATATTATTGTCACTTACTGCTTTGGTTTTTTGGAATATTTTGATTGATGGCATACCATTTAAACACTGTACCAGTCATTGTTCAATCAGCAGCTAGTGGTGTAGTCTCCATCTCACTGAGACACATGAGCATTTCCTTGGGGTTCTCAAAGACACATTTGAACACCAAATACAAACATAGAAGATAAAATTAATCAAAAAGGTTCTGAATTAAAGCCTGCTTTAGTGTATAATTGTGTGGATAGATTTTAATTTCACTGGGTTTGCAGCTTGAATGTTGATTGTTGGTCTGTGATCTTGAAATTCAGTACAGATTGTATCTAAAATGTAATTCAGATAGCAATATCGACTTTGTTCTCTACCTGTAGCTGATAGGTACTTCTTGTTTGCTCGATCCCTGTGGTTAATGGGTCCAGCACAGCTTTTGGCACAGGTTGAAACAGAAGGAAGGCAGCTCTGAGGGATCTGACAAACACACAGCAGTCAATTAAAATTGAATGAGTGAAGCTGTTACCAGCCCCAGCTGCCTCCCCTGGCCCTCTCAGAGATACTGCTAATCAGGGACATGTGGTGTGCACATAAATCTGTGCCTGTACTGGCATCTTTTAGCCTGGCATGTAAAGGTAAACTGAGATCAAGATCTGCTATTGCTTATTTGTCATAGCTGTGCAGTGATGCTGGCTTGCTTCATTATCCTCACTCTCAGCACATACCACTCCATGAGTCTATCCAGCTATAGCAGCTTTTTCTTCTAGGATTTTCATGCTGAGGAAATTCCTGAGTGAGTAAGCATGTGGTCTGCTGACACCAGCAGAACTGCACTGGTTGCATACATCACCTTAAACATCTGAGAAATAGTAATAAAAAATATTTACATGAATGTTAAAATGAAGAATGTGCACTGAAGAGGAGAACTCTGGTACAGGTATTGCTGAAAATTTTAACTGCACACCCTCCCTGTACTCTTCTCTCACCCTTATTCAGAAATCAGTTTTTCAGTAAAAGAATTGATTAATCTCTGAGAAAGGCAGTTAAATGATTAGAGCAATTTATTCATTGCACAATCTGTGCTGCCTCCTGTTAGCCATAGATTGAGAACCCGTAAGTAGCTGTCCCATTTGAGGGAAGAAGATGGTTTGATTTTCGTTGTTAACCATTTAGGAAAAAAGACATCTGCTCATTGTTGGTCTCACCCATCCTGCTAGGACATCAGCCTTTGTAAGCTTCAGGCTTATGAGCTGGAAGGGTGAAGGGAAGTATATAAAACAGTAGAGCACTAGGCAGCTTCTTCTATGAAACATGGTAACAGATAAAACAAGAATTCCCCTACTTAATTTTTTATTATTCAGGACTTTGATATACTCCTCACTCCATAATACATAAACTGCTACAGAAACAAACCAAACTGCTCTTATTAAAACCATCTGAGAATATGCTTTTAAACTTCTGGTACTTTGGATTTTTGTCAGGTGACAAAAATTTGGGATGTATTGTATACTCTTCTAATGTTTTGTGGAGCTTTCCAGACTAAAGCATCCAACATTAGCAAACTATTTTATCTCTATCTGTATCTATCTAGCTACCAACCTATAGTTTTTAATGGTAAGTCCCATTATATTTAGGTCATTATTCAGCAGAGCACTTAGAACAGTTTCTTTCTTTGTTGGGATCAGGGTCTACTCAAATGGCTCAGTAGTGTGCTTTGGGTCTGCTTGAGCTGTCCCCTAAATTAGAATTTCTTGAGGAACCTTTTGTGTGAGAGTTCAAAATACCATTGATAAGGGGATGTCACAGCAGATATCCAGGATTCCTACTAGGTTTATACCCAGCCAGAGAAATTTGAGTGGTCCTGTTAAACCTCCCTGGGACAACTCCCATAATAGCTGTTAAGGATGTGTCTGAATTATGAGTTGAACTAACACCTAAATAATAGACACTGATATCAAAATTCTCTTTTCTGCATGGTATTTGTGTTACAGTTGTGTGTTGTGGCCAGTTCTCTTCCCTCTGAGAATGACCACAGTTAGTATCCAATTCCTTCTTTGTGGAAAGCAGCATTCCGGTCCTGCTGCATGAAGTCACAGGGAACCCTGCCTGGTCAGACACAAGGTGCAGGGAGGAGAAGCACCAGGACATATCCTGTTTTCTTTGCAATCTCTTGTTGAGATTACAGAGCAGAAAAATTCTAATTCCTTTGAAGCGTAGAAAACTGTGTTCTTTGACCAAATACCTAGCTTTAACATAGCAAATGAGTTGGGTTAAAGTAAAAAACCTGTCTTGATGGTCTTCCAAACCCTGGAGAAAGGACAAACATAGAAATGTCTAAGTTAAGAATGGTGCTGGTATTCTGTATGCCTGACATGCACTGAGGAAAAATCAATTTGAATTCACTAAATAATTTGTTAAGGGTTAATCTGTAATGTGCACTTGAACATGCACACACAGAAAGAGTAACATTACACAGCAATTTAGTTTGTATACCTAGTTGTATTGGATTTGAAATGTAATGCAGTTGTTTCGACTCTGGAGTTATCTGACAGGGGGAAAAAAAGTTCTTTTACCTTTATCCCTGTTGAGTATTAAATTGCCACACTGCAGTTAATGACTGTTGCATCCAGAGTGTCTAGAAATAACTGTCCTGAAATAGTTTTTTATTTTTTTAATTCTTTTAAGCATGATTTATGCTGTATTGCCTACGAAAAGGTGATTAATGACCTGTCCTCTGAACCTGACCATTCTCTCAATCTTGCAGGTTTGTTTTTTTTTGTATAGTGGCAAACTGGTCCTACTCTCATAATAACTTAGTGGTATATATATATATATGTGGAACAGTAAAAACTAAAATGCAGACAGAAATAGAAAATAGCAACTGTGACTATATGCATTTCTGAAAATCTTAGCACTTTTTATGGCTTTACTGTTAGGTTTTTCTCTTCTGAAATATTTCAGTTTCTGTGGCCAAAGTGTGGAACAATACCCCTTGCTTCCTCTGTCCCCCCTAAGAAAAGGAAGTAGAAATACTCTACAGAAAACAACTATGAAAAACATATTCAGGCAGAAATGTTTGAAGGATGGCTAGGGAAACTAGTGATGTTTTTCCTTTTGTGACCATGTTCTTTAGTAGGTGTTATTTCTAAAGCACATTGATCACAAGTGTACTTGTGAATTTGGTGATGCCACTATAAATGTACCTTTGTTGCTACATAAGCATAAACATCCTACTCAGTCTTATGTAGCAATGAGGTCTGAAAATGCCCTTTTCTAACTTCAAGGACTTTCAAACAAAGTTGACAACTGTTTATGTGAAGATGCTCCAGGATGGATACTAAGGTGTCAGAACTCTTTTTTTTTTCCCCAAAAAAAAACCCAAACCAAAAACAAACAAACAAACAAACAAAAAACCAAAACAACTTCTTGAGTGAATTAAGTTTTATATTTGTGGTAGAATTTTTATTTTTCCCCTTCCAGCCCAGAACAGCAGTAGGTAAACGCAATAAACACTGACCATTGATAAAGATGGTGGTATTTCTTGCAGGTGCTGCCACTTCTATGCTGCTTAAAACCACTCAGTGCTAGTTTTTATCTCAAAGTATGATTGTAACTGATGCTCTTATATGAAAGTTTTTGACAAATGCTACTTCTGAGTCCCATTAAGTCTTGCTGAGTGCAATGCAGGTGCTGCATCTGCTCTCAGTTGTGTTTTTCATTCTCTACCTTTATTCCCTGTGCTGGGTACTTAGGTGGTGCATCAGACATTAGAATGGAGTTAAAGACATTGGATTTGTTTTGCTAATATTTGATGGTTGGAGTTTTCATCTCCTGTTGAGCAGTGACCAATCCACAGAGAAGGTCTCAAGTATGTAAAAAGGCACATAGAGAGGCAGAAGGCTAAAGACTGTAAAAATTACCAGGCAGCCCATTAGAATTAGTCATAATAATTTTGAAATTCAGAATCTCAGAATACTTCAGCAATTCTTTATGTGAATTATTCTTTCATTGATGACCATGAATAATAGCTAAAAAGCAAAAGGAAAGGAGGGAATAAGTTTTGATCAGATATTTGAAGGCAAATGAAAAGCTGATCAGGCAGAAGAGCATAAGAAGGCCCTTTCAGATGGCATTTTCTCCTCATGAGAGGGCTCTTAGACCAACAATGGTGAGATTGTGAGCAGAGCCAGAGTAGCTGCTCCTGGATGCCAAGAAGGAACAGACAGGGGATATAGGAAAAGAGAAGCATTTTAAAATACTCAGCAGAGAACATTTCTTTAAAAGGGCACATTCTATTAAACACAGGATTCATTCTTCCACAGCATTTTTTCTTCCCATAATGGCATTTTACTCCTTTGTATGAAGTCACCATATAAAACGATTGAATTGAGCAGTTTCACACGCCAACACCATTTTGCTCTCATGGAAAATGGCAGCCTGCCATCAGCTGCAAAGGTGTAACAGGTCACTCAGGGTTTTTGGCACCGATGATTCCCTTCTGCAAGCTAGGAAATTAATTTTTGCTGGGAAAGTCACAACACTTGAGAATCTCCACTCAGGAAAATCGTGCAAAGATGCCAAACAAAAGAACAGTAGCTGCTGAAGTGTCCTGCCTGAAGCCTTCCCTTGCATCCTTAATAAATATTGCTGGATTGGACAGTTTCCTCTTTATCTTGGAGAGCATTCCCATATACTCCCTTGAGAAGAAAAGTAGCAGTCCAGACATTATGACATGGAGTTCTAAAAACTGAGTGATTGCACACTGAAAGCATCTATTTTTTCAATTTGCTGAAACCTGTCATTCACATTCATTTTGTCATTAAGTTAAAGGTG